AATAAAAACATTACTAAAAAAATAGTAAATTTTCTAAAAACATTAATGAAACAACTTAAAAAATAAAGTTTCTAAAAACATAAATAAAATTGCTAAAAAATAATACAATTGCTAAAAAAAATAAAATTGCTAAAAAAAATTAATAAATTTCTAAAAACATGACTAAAATTGCGAAAAAAGAAATTAAATAAAATTACTAAAAAACATGAATAAATCGCTCCGAACTTTAAATATTTCTGAAAATATTCTCAGAGCGTCTCACAATTTTCAAGTAAGTTCAAATAAGTTCAACCTGAAATCCATCCGGTTTATGTTCTTCATGGCCTCCACTAGAACAACCTGCTGATTGTGTGTCTGTGTGTGTGTGTGTTTGTGTAGATACACAATCTTCAGGAACCGAACCCTGAAGCTAACCGACGTCCAATCAGAGGACAGCGCCACCTACTCCTGTGAGGTCATCAGCAGACTGGACCACGTCAACGCCCGCGGATCCATCACCGTCGTCGGTACGTCCGTGTGTGTGTGTGTGTGTGCGTGTGCGTGTGTGTGTCGCTGCTCTGCATTAATGCCGTTGTGTCGGACCCTCAGCACCGCCCGACCCGCCCGGCCAGCTGTCTCTGTCGGACACCAAGGACCACAGCCTGACGCTGAGCTGGACCCCCGGAGCGTCACACAACAGCCCCATCACCGGTACACAACGCCACAGACACACACAACACCTCCACATGTTGTCGGGTCCGGTATGGACTCCAGAACACGTCTCTGAACTCGTTGTGTTGCTGAACGGGTCCACCAGAGAACCCAGTCTGAGCTTACAGTCCTGCTGTTACATCAAAGTCATTTTATTTTAGAAATTGACAAAAACTAAACTTTGCAGTGACGAGATTCTTTAAAAGTCTAAAAAATTAATAAATTTATTAAAGGTCTCCTGGAAATATGTCAAAATCTGTTTAGTAGAAGGTTGTCTTAATAAAAATGTAGGATGGACTCCAACTGCTGACTCCTCTGACCCAGTTCAAACAGAACCATCTGATCCACTCCCTGGACTCAGACACTTTGTTGTTCGAGTAGCTCAGCAAAGAAAAGGCCACAAACCTGTGGACTGATGCAGAAGAACACCAAACCTACCATCAAGCATGGAGGTGGCAGCATCATGCTCTGGTTCTGTTCTGCTGCCAGTGGACCTGAAGCTTTACACAAAGTCAATGGAACAATGAAGAAGGAGGATCACCTCCACGTTCTTCAGGAAAACCTGAAACCATCAGCAGAAGGTTGATCTTGGACACAGTTGGATGTTCCAACCAGACAATGAGCCCAAACACACATCAAAGTGGTGAAGAAATGGTTCCATCAGGCAGGAATGAAGGTTCTAGACTGGTCTCCCCAAAGTCCTGACTGGAACCATCCAGAACCTAGGTAGAGTTTTGACCCAACAGACTTTGTTAAATTTGTGGAAAACCAGGAACTTCAGGTTTCACACAGTTGGATCAGAGGAGTCAGCAGCTGGAGTCAGTCGTACAGCTTCCGACATCATCAAAACGGGTCGTTCAAGTTCTAGTTGGTATGGTTTTGACCCAACGGATTCCATCATATTTCCAGAAGACCTTTAATAGATCCATGAAGGAACCAAAACACAGGATTGTTTTAGTGACAAAGATTCATGTTTCAGTGATTCCGTCGTAGAAGGAGTTCCAGGAGTCACTGGGAACTCACGACTACATCCCATACGACTGGACTGATTAACACCAGTGGACGCTGACGTGTAGTTTGTTCTTCTGGGTCCTACTGGACCTGCAGGACTTTGTATGACAGTACAAATGAGATAAGAGACCAACTGGTTGGAGTTCAGAGTGTTAACAAGTTGTTCTGGTTCTTTTCTCAGACAAACCGTGGACAGTAGGTCTCTGATGAGGCCCGGTTAGTCTCCAGTACCTTCTTACCACTATGTGTCTCCATCAGGCTTCATCGTGGAGGCCCGGGAGGAGCAGCACCAGGACGAGGCCCGGTGGAGGTGGGAGCAGTGGGAGCAGGTTCCGGGAGATGTCAACCACCGGCAGCTGAAGCTCAGCCCGTTCTGCATCTACAGCTTCAGGGTCGTCGCCGAGAACGAACTGGGCCGGAGCGAGCCGAGTGAACCGTCGGGGCCCCGCAGCACGCCGCCTGCCGGTAACCGGACCGGGTTTTATCACACCTGATTCCCGGAGGAACGTTTAGTGCAACCATCAAACTGTTTTCTGTCTTTCTCCACCGTCCTCCAGTGCCGTCCAGCAACCCCATAAACGTCACCAGTAACTCGTCAGAACCGGGAACGCTGGTCATCACCTGGGCGGTGAGTCCAAACATGTTGGGTCTAAACATCTCTGCATAGATACAACTCACGTTTCCTCCACTTGTAAAGCCCATGTCTATCAGTGGGTACTGAACAGTCCTCTAACAGACCGTCCTGAGCATCAGCTGCTCAACGTCCTCTTCGTGTCCTTGAACGCGTCACTAACTGATCTTCGCTCTCTCCTGCAGGAGATGGACAAACGCTCCCACAGCGGCGAGGGTTTCCAGTACAAGGTTCTGTGGCGGGAGGCGGACAGCAGCGACCTGCGCTGGAACACCGGCTTCGTCAAGTCGCCGCCGTTCCTGGTCAACAACACGGGAACGTTCACGCCGTTCGAGATCAAAGTCCAGGCCGTGAACGCCATCGGAGCGGGGCCGCCACCGGAGGCCGCCATCGGACACTCCGGAGAGGACAGTAGGTCCCTGAACGCACCACGGTTCACACAACGTCCACTTTAACAGGATCCCAGTGTTTCGTATCTCATTTTTGTCATATTGTGTTTTGTTTTTGTCGCTTTGTGTCTCATTTTTGACATTTTGCCTCTTTGTTTGTGTCTTGTGTATTTTATTTTTGTCATTTTATTTCTCATATTTGTCATTTTTGTTTTGTTTTGTCCCGTTTTTCGCATTTTATGTCTCGTTTTTGTCAAATTGCGTCTTGTTTTTTGTCGTTGCGTCTAGTTTTTTGCATTTTCTGTTTGGTTTTTGTCATTTGTCATTTTTTTGTCGCTTTGTGTCTCATTTTTGACATTTTGCCTCTTTGTTTGTGTCTTGTGTATTTTATTTTTTGTCATTTTGTCTCGTTTTTATTTTGTTTTGTCCTGTTTTTTTTGCTCTTTAAGTCTCATTTTTGCCATGTTGTGTCTTGTTTTTGTCGTTTTGTGTCCCATTTTGTCAGCACAGCCATGAAGAAGAAGAAATGTTTTCTGTACAGAACGACATGAAAATAAAGAAAACACAAAATTTGAATATCTTTCAAATATTCCAAGTCTGTACGATGTCGTCTCCTCGTCCTGTAGATGTTGAATAATTTTACATTTAGTGAATCAACACTGAACGGTTAAAGTGAAAGCGTCCAGATGCTGAACCGTCTCTGAGAAGCTGCAGATTGAAGCTGAACAACCTCCTGAGACGCTGAAAGATGTTTTCCAAGAGCCGAGCTTCACATTCCAGGAGCTGAACTCCTAAACAAATACTAGATTCCTGACCCTTGACCTCGGGGCATTTTCTCAACACAATGGGAGTAATTACCCCAGAGTGTGTGACCGGCTGGACAGCAGAACCACTGTTTTCCATCAGAACCAGATTCCAGCACCACCAGGCATTCATCTCGCTGACATTTCTGCTCAGCAGTCCTCATCCCGCCGTTTGATGGCTTCAGTCGTTAAAATCTCTCGTAAAAAGACGGATTTTTGTCCTCAGTGACGAGCGATGAAAGAAGCTTCTTCACAAGGCTTCTGCAGAATGTGCCTGTAAACAAGGTTTGAACCTCACGCGAGGATATTTCTGAACATCTCCACGTGTGACGCTGCTGAATGCATCTTCTGGTAAAAACAACAGGTTGGACAAATCACATGGATGGAACCAGGAGTTATCACGGACCCGCCTCAACTCTGCGATGGTCCTTGAATGTCTATAATGCACCGATTATTTGGAGAACTTAACGACATCTGAGCGTTTCAATGTTCATCAAAACCCCTTCATGCCACATGTTTGGATGAACAATCTGCCAAAAGCAGGCGGTTAGACGTCAACGTGAAGCCTGCTGGTGCTGGAATCTGGTCCGTGATGGAAAACAGACGTCGTGCTGTTCGTCTCAGAGATAATTACCCTCATTATGTTGAGAAATCAAACCAGAGTCTGTAGAAGACTGAAAAAATCTGGAACTTTTCCTTGAACTAATCATGTGTGCTGCACAGTTCTGTCAGAAAAACAAGTGATGCAACTTCCAGAATCACTTCATTTGGTTTCCTCGTTTAAAAATCTCCAGAAACAACCACTTTACTCAAACTAGAATCTGCAAAAAACTAAATATTCTGATGTCCTCGGTGCAGC